GTGTGTGTGTGTGTGTGTGTGTGTGTGTGTGAGGCAAGGAAAAGAAAAGAAAGTGAAGAGGCAGGATGTGCACACACGCTGAGTCATATGATATCACACTCACAGATGGTACATGCCCTTTCTGTTGAACACAGCTTTAAAAGATAACAGTTTGGGTCAGTGCCAGTACTTTTCAACCCATATACTGTTACTCATTTTTGTCTATTCACTAGCTGAGTAATAGCCTCTGGTGATGTCTTTTTATTGTATTTTTTTACTCCTCTATGGCTCACACTTACTTTTTTACCTGTAAACCATTCTTCCTCTTACCTTTGCTGAATTGTCGACTCATCTTTATAGCCTTTTTAAATCCCAGGTAATTAAGCCTTGTTTTTTTTTTATCTCAGCCTGTTTGTCAATCACCTTCTTATCTTTAGTTTTGCTTGCCAACCATCTTTCAGCATGACATGTCAGCTTCTTTCTTCAGGTGCTAGATTAGAAATGTGTTAAATGGTCAGTTTATAGTAGAGTGATGATAAAGAAAAACACCAGCTGCTGAGTATGGATGGATTTTACTAACAGTGTGACTCATGCAAGTACATTTTCATCTTCTTATCTTAAATTTCTCTTACGATTTTTCATACAAAGGGTTAATACAAACATGCCACGGTAGATTCAGCAAACGCTTCTAACTTTAGGAAAAGTGTGTAAATGAGCAGCATAAACTGATGAAGCCACCTGTATTCAGGTGCTTGTGCACGAGGAGAGAACATTAACATAATTACCAGCCCAAGAATACCATATAAGGCTACGCTTCCTGCCCTACATACCAGGAAGTGTCCATTCATGAAAATGGCAGCGAGAAGTAAAAAGAAAAACTTCACGAGTTCGGAGGTTGAAGTCCTGCTCTTGGAGATTCAAAAAAGAAAATGTCTTTTCAAGCAGCGTCAGCTGTGGAATTAAAGGACCTGCTAAAGCCAAGAAATGGGAAGAAATAACGGCTGCAGTAAAAGTTAATGCTGTGTCTCCTGTGGGTTGCAATAGTTAGTGACTGTGTTACCCAGGGGTGACGTAAGTAAATTAAATTAAATTAAAAAACCTTCTCCCAACCAGTACTCCAAATGGTCTGCCACTAGAAATAAGTTATCCACTGCTTTGGGCTGTTGACACTCTGCCAGCAAACCCCCACCACCACCACCACCACCCGTGAGTAATAAGGGACAATGGGACTTAACGGTAAAGTAAAATAAATCATTAAAATAAGAATGTTTTGCAAAAATGACAGATTTTTGAAGGACACAGGTAAACATCTGATAATTCACTTAGATAAAGAAGAAAAAGTTGTCTTGCCATTACAATTAATGTATAACTTAAGTTCATTTGTTCGAGATCTTGCAATTTTATAGTACTATAATAGCATTAATAGCAATTTAAATTATATCGTTAGGCTACATTTAAAATGATATTTCCAAAGAACACTATGGACTTTGTGGACAAGGTGAGGGATGTCATCATGGAGGCGGATGAAACTATTGTCTCTTTTGATGTTACATCGCTCTTTACGTGCGTTCCTGTTGATAAGGCAGTGGATGTGGTCTGTGCAAGATTAAAATCAGACACCACTCTCAGCAGCAGAACCACACTTTCCACAGAACAAGTGTGCCAACTCCTCAAACTGTGCCTGGAGTCAACCTACTTCACGTACGGGGGGCAATATTATAGGCAGAAACATGGGTGTGCTATGGGATCCCCAGTTTCTTCTATTGTTGCAAACCTGTACATGGAGGAAGTGGAAAAGAGAGCCTTGATGTCCTTTTCAGGGGTGCCACCGAACCATTGGTTCAGATATGTTGACGACACCTGGGTTAAAATTAAAGCCCAGGAAGTCCAACATTTCACTGATCACATCAACTCTGTGGATGAATATATTAAGTTCACAHGAGAGGATGTAAAAAATGGCAGGTTGGCGTTCCTGGATTGCGATGTCTCGGTTTCGGATGCAGGACGGTTAGAAACTGGCGTGTATCGTAAGCCCACCCACACAGACCAATATTTGCGTTTTGACTCCCACCACCCACTGGARCACAAGTTAGGAGTGATCAGGACTCTGTACCACAGAGCAGACAGTGTCCCTACAAACCCAGGAGCCAGGGAGAAAGAGAAATCACACACACGACAGGCCCTGGAGCAGTGTGGTTATCCTGATTGGGCTTTCTTGAAAGCAGACAGGAAACACAGACAGGATTCCATGCAACCTTCAGGTGAAAATGAAGACCCCAAACCCAGACCCAAACCAGTGGTTATTCCRTATGTTGCGGGTGCTTCGGAGAAACTGAGACGTTTATTTTCTAAACATGATGTCCCAGTAGCTTTCAAACCCCAAAACACATTACGGCAAAGGTTGGTTCACCCCAAAGATCCGGTGCCCCGGCACAAACAGAGCAATGTTGTATATGCTGTTAAGTGCCAGGAGGACTGCGACCAGTTATATATCGGGGAAACAAAGCAACCACTGTTCAAAAGAATGGCCCAACACAGACGAGCTACATCTAATGGTCAGAACTCTGCAGTTTCACTCATTTACAGGCCAGCGGTCACTCTTTCAGAGATGAGGATGTTCTCATTCTTGATAGAGAGGAACGTTGGTTTGAGAGAGGAGTAAAAGAAGCCATTTTTATGAAGAAAGACCATCATTAAAAAGAGGTGGAGGCCTCCGTTTTCAGTTGTCCCCCTCCTACAGTGCTGCTATTGTCAGTATCACTCCACCCCCTGTTAACAATAGGTGTTAATTAGGTGTCAACGATAGCCATGTGATGTGAGTATCAGTCACATGGATGCAGGGCTTAAAAGCCTGAATTTTGCCTGAAACTCTCAGACTGAAGAAGTCTCTTGGAGGAGAGACGAAACGTTTCATTAGAGAAGAACCCGTCCAGAAGACCTATACAATTTTTTTCTTTTTGATTTTTTACCTGGATTACTGAGATGCATCAGGATATTTCCAATTCAAACAGAATAGCCTTTTGTCAACATAATCATGGAGTGTGATTTGTTTTTAACTCAAAATATCTTCAAACTAATGAAATATAAGGTCATTAGTGAAGAAAAACAGTCTGGATAACAGCAGACTGACTGTACGTAAAATATACGACAGGTCTGGACCACACGTGAATTTTTTTCGTATCTGAAAAAAATTTTTAATACGTGAAAATTGGTGAATGTGACAAGTTCTCCTAAATCCCTTGTACACAACTTATAAATAAATCTGTTTGCACAAGCAATTTTTGCAAGAGGCCCAGTATTTTGTTTTGATAAAATAAAAAGGAATTATTTTTATGGCACACGTTTGCTGTTGATATGTCTCTCACACACACCTACTCTTTGTTATTCATTAACTTTCATTAGTAAATAAAATAGTTTTAGGTGTTCTTTGTCAGGTCCCTGTTGAGTTCTTTGTTCTGTTTGTAGCTGAACCCTTTATGTTTAATTAGCCTTTGTTTTAAAGGGCTCTGATGGAAATTTGACTCAGCTCACCAGAAGCAGACGGCTCTCTCAGCTTCCAACTGGCTCTACAGAAGTGATTCGAAGAGAAGAGGTGTTTG